TGAAATTAGTTTTTTTTTTCTTTTTAAGACATGTACTGTAAGTATGGTTTTATTTTTCTCTTCCATTAACCCTAGGGATTCAATGTCTTCATAATCTTCTGTTTGACAAAAAATTTATTGTTACTTGCTGCCTAGTAATGTGCTTGGGATATATAGATTTTAAAAAGATATTAAAAAAGACAAATTTGTTTTCTTGATTTTTGAATCCACCATCAAATCCTTAACAGGAGGTCCGAATAAGTGATCAGTTACAGAAACAATGGTAACAGTTTATGGAAAACCTATGGATTCACATATGGGGAAACAATACACAAAAATTACAGAAAATAAATTTGAGTTGAGTCCTTAAGGATAAATATAAGTCTTGTGGTATGTTGGGGCAGTGGGTAGGCAGGGCATGTCCTTGAAGGAATCACAGAACCAAGGATACAGAATTGAGGAATGTCATGGTATGCTCAGAAATTAGCAACTAGACTGTAGCTAGAGTGAGGGATTCTCAGCTAGGAAGTAGGATGAGGTTCCTACATAGAAATGGGCCACCTATCTTCCTCTTCAAGGAATTCCAACAGTTCCAAATAAACTTTTGGAAAAGATTCCTAAAATACATCAATAAGAGTCATAAACCCTAGTTTAAAATGAGCGGCAGAATAAGAAGAGGTAGCAAGTGTGAAGAATTCCCAGGATTTCACCAACACATGCTGGTGTGTTAATCAGGTGGGATAGTCAGGAGGAAAAAGAAGCAATGGCTGAAAATATTTTATGTGAGTTTATTTGGTTTTATAGTTAAATCCCTGGGGGTAGTAACTGGGGCAAAAAAAAAATCTCTTCTGTTGCTCATCTCCAAACTCAATGTGGACCTCAGACTTGCACTGAGCAGTGAAATTTGAGAAGCAGTGTCATTCCTGCACGAACAGTAAGTACGTAATTCATTAAATGCCTTGCTTTGCTATGGCAAAGTGACCCTCCAGATGGTGCTGTCTCCATCACCCTGGGTCCCAAGTGAAGAGATGAAATAGAGGGCTCAATCAACCCACACTGGCTATGGAGTACAGGGGAGAAATGGATCCATGTTGTAGTAAACCTCCAAGATACATTTTTCTTTTTGCTTTTCCTTTTCCAACAGAAGAAACTCATTATGATTGATAAACTGTGCTTAATTTTAGGCAGAAACCTGGCTCAAAACTTGGAGAGGAGGAACTCAAGGAACCTCCTAAGGAAATCTCAGTTATTTACTATGTCTTAAAGAATTCAGTTTCATCCAAACAGAGGCATGGCCTTTGCCTTTCACTTTTGGAAGGTGACCT